GTAGGAGCAAAGGACGCTACTAGGGGCTCCTGGCCTTACTAGTAGGAACAAGAAGCTACTAGTAACAAGAAGCGAACGTCCAACAAATACCGACAGGCCGCAACTCTGCCTCCAAAGCTTGGACGCCACCAATCCCACAAGCCCCGTCTCCCCAGCGCCCAGCTCCAACACACCGTGCTCAGAGGCAGCAGTCAAAGCAGAGCTCAAAGCGTTCAAAGTACTGCAGGGCATCGGGCACTGCAGAACTTTCTCTAGCTTTGGGTCGGAAGAATTGAGCTTCACCAGAACACCTGAACACACTGGAATTGTCATTGAACTCGAAACTTGTTTTGAACTCTCAGCATCAAAACACATACACAAGAACTAGTAAGGCAGAGCTGACGACTGAATCGCACGATCTTCGCGTTTTGATGTAGCTTGCACGCTGAAAATACTGCGTTTATTAGACAATCGAAAACAATACAATTTATGTTCGTTCCGGCAAGTGAGGAACAACGAGCCTTTCAAGGCCAGAACAACTTAACATCGTGAAAACTGTGAAAACGATAGAAAGGCCTCCAGCTTACTAGCGATGGCCTCCTGGCGATGTCCCACACTCACACAACGGTCCTCTGAGAGTGTGGAGACGCACGTCTGGCTCAGACTTAGGAAACCAACTTGATCATCCTTAGACCTTATCTCTGAACCTCTCTGAACCCGTGATTTTCGTCCTGTAACATTGTAGACCTTCCGATTGTTCTTCCCTTTCTTTCGTTTCTGCCTTTTCAGTTGGCCAAACAATCCATCTTTGCCAAACCCGTGTTTGTGACCGAACAGAGAACCACGCGTCGCCCAAACCGGCGAGAACCACGCGCGTCGCCTGCCAGAACCACTGAGGCGTCCCAAGCGACGCAGCCGGTCCGGCGCGATGCCTCGGTGGGGCTCTTGGCCAGGGCCGCTGGTTGCGCTCGGCATTGCCCTCGGACGAAGTCATCGGGGCGTTGCCTCAAAGAGAAGTCTAGACCTCGAAAGGACACAAGACAGGAGAAAGAAAAAGGAAGAACGAAGAAGTTTCTTAAAGAAACTGAAAGGTTAAAGAAACAAAAAGAACCAAGGCAAGAGTGGCAGCAAGTAGTTTCTGAAAAGAGAATACAGTAGGCCCAAGCAAGTGTTTAGGGGGTACGAGTAGCACGAAAGCAGGCAAAGTTCAGACTTCTTCAAGCAAGAAGATTGATTCTGTTCCTAAACTTAGCCTTAAACTTTGTTTGTTGCCTTTTTTGACCATGCTTCTTTCCTTTCTTCGTTCAATTGTATAAAGATGTGCGAAAAAGAGCGCTTGGAAGAAGTGAAAGATATTTCACTCTAGGGAAGCTCAGGCTATTCATTTGGTTCATAGATTTATTTCAAAAAACACTACTCTCGCCATGGTTTTTCTCCGCACCTGGCCCAAAGCTCACATCCAGCAACATTGCGGAGGGTGCTGCTAACGTCTCCTCAAACAAAGGCCGCAACGTCCGGCAAGCCTCCTCCTCCTCTTCCGCCTCTTCCTTCATCTCATTGGGAGAGCATATGGCAGTGAATGGCAGTGAACTATTGAAGAAAGGGCTGCAAAGAAACACAGCAGAAAACATATTTTGTTATTAGACTGTGGGCTACATGCAAATTCAATGGCAAGCCCCTTTTTTCACCTGAGACTTTCTCCGTTGAGCAGTGTGCCACGGTCTGATTTCTGTAGATTGCTCTGCTCAAGTATGGATAGGAGTTGATACTGAACGTGGTAACCCTTGTGAGCCTTGTCACAACTGCGGCAATGCCAAAACAAAAACACGGTTTCAAGTGACCAAATCGCTTGCTGACTGTGCTACTGTGCGTGCCTCACAGAATTTGCAGTTGGTAAAAATGTATGTTTTTAAGTTTCTTGATCACTCAGCCATTAGCATCATTAGCATCGGGTGATCAAATTCAATGGCTAGTCACAGCTCATCCGTTGGATCTTGTCACAACTAAGCCCACCACGCAAGAGCTGCACCCGCACCAACCGCGCGGCCCCAGCAGTGATGCAAAGGACCAGAAAGCCCTTGCTGAGAGCACCAAGCACCAAGCACCAAGAGTTTTGGAGGTTTAAAACAATTTTGTTGAATCTTGCCCAATCAAACCCTCACATAGAGAAATTCAACATCCTTGAGAAACCTCTTCTGGAGGTTTTATCAAGATCTAGCATTGGATTCCAAGTTGGTTGCGTGCAACACGGTCTTCTCTTCTTTTGCACCATTGAGTCATTCGTCTCTCATATCTTGCCAAGCATCAAGGAACCACAAGCTACGATGCCTGGCATCTTTTTATAGTCGGAAAAGGTCTCACCAAAAAGCTGCTTCCTTTTGACCATCAGTCGATAGAGTTACTGTAATGAGGTCAAACGTATCCGAAAAACAAGTCTTACAACACAAACCAAGCATGGAGGCCATCCCTCCTAGGTTGGAGTAAACAAAGTTTCTAGGTTGGTAAACAACATGGTTTCACCTCTTTGTCCCTTTCCTTTTTCCAAATGTGTCTTGGAAAAAATGTTTCCCTTGTTATGGAGGTCTGCCAATGGAGCCAAATGAGATGGTCATGAGTGCTCCATGCGCTGGCGACAGTGCCACGCAGCCCGCCTGGCACGGTTGATCAGCCCCATGGGCCTCAGGATTCCACTGAGCTCTTCGCATGTCTTGGCCCCTTTTCCACCGGGTCAAAGTGTGTTTTTTGGACTAGGAACAAGAAGCTACTGGGAACAAAGGGCATCGCTACTAGGAGCAAGGACACTACTAGGGGCTCCTGGTCCTACTACTAGGAGCAAGAAGCTACTAGGAACACGAGCGAAAACAACTGTTGAAAAAGTCGCCAAATGCTGCAAGGTTTCTGAGGCGCAGGCAAGCATAGCTCATTGTCACAAAGAATGTGAATTGTCTTGGGACAGCATCATGCCTATGGAAACCTAAGGTGTTCAACTGGACTGCCCCTGAAACAGACTCGTGAACTAAACCAGTGTGCTGACCAACCATTGAACGTTCATGAACCTTGGGAGCAAGTGTTGTCAAGAAGGCACAATTTCTACCATCGAACCTGAGCAAATCTCTTGGGCAAAAAATGCGATTGGGAGGCGCACAGTGGAAAATACATGTATTTTCATGGTAGCTATATAAGTATATATATATATATATCATGCCGCCTTATTCTCCGCATTCTCGAAGGTTCCCTAGCCTTGTTGTCAAGGCATGCTAGTGGCCACTACAAGCACAAGGAGCGACGGTGTCCAATCGACTGCACAATGTTCAACCAA